TGTGGTTGGAAACTGAAATTTCCAGGGAATCAATGGAACCAGAGAACCCCAGGAGGCAGAGATCTCAGGAGGCACCGGGTCCAGCCCCCTGCCCAAAGCAGGACCAGCCCAACTCAATCATCCCAGCCAGGGCTTGGTCAATCCAGGACGTAAACATCTCTAGGGATGGAGATTCCACCCCCTCCCTAGGGAACCCACCGGTATCCGTGATGTGGCCTCTCCCTTAGCCTCTTCACTGACGCCGTCCCACCTGCGCTATCCCACTGCGACCCCTTGATACTGCTCGTGGACTTGCTTGGTCTGACACGAGGGATGGACCTTTCCATCCTTGCCCATGGAGACCCATTGGCCATCTCGAGCCGTTCGTGAACTCTTCCAAGTCCATACTTCCGCAGAGCTGGGCCCCGGTAGGTCAATTTAGGATGCCAATTTAGGATGCCAATTTAGGATGCCTCCAATTTAGGATGCCAATTTAGGCTATTCCTGTATAGATCGATTGACACCTACAGACACCAAGTGGATCAGTTTTAGAGTGACGCGCATCCATGTCTATCCGTTCTAGACCACTCAAGAACAACGCCATTCCTCTCCAGACCTTTCTCCCCACCCTACCGGTGCTGGACACCCCCCAACTATCTGTATCCTGTAGGGAGCTGCAGTAGAGATCACCAAGCGGGCTCCGAGGCCATCCGGCGGGTGGGTGGGAGAGTCCAGGACTGGCCCCTTGATGAGATGGGATGAAGGAAGGTCTCACGTTCCCTCCTCTATGAATGTGAATTCCCAGGGGGGCAAGGCACCTCCAGCGACAGGGAGGGATCCCGGGGCTCTCAGCACAGCCTGATGGGTTGGTAGCCCAGCCCCCACATGCTCCTGTGGGACCCCTCTGGTAGGGTGGCCACAGGGCTAAAGCACAGGGCCAAGACCCAAGACATCAGCGACCACTTCCCAGTCCAGCGCAGGCTCCCAATGGACCTCGCAGGTCAGTCTGCGGAGATGTGACTTTCAGAGTTGGGACAGGAGCCGAACACACAAACTCCTAACAGCAGGGACAACTGCTCCAAGCCTCAGTTTCCCCCACTGCACAATGAGCCTTTCCTGTCTGTGTTTCAACTGGATCCCCATTGGGAGACAGCTTGGTGGTGAGGGCAGTCCCCGGCACATTCAGAGATGTGATGAGCACACAAACACCTAACAGCAGGGTTAGGCACAGTCGCCCTGTGCCTCAGTTTCCCCATCTGCACGATGAGAGAGAAGACTCTTCACATGTCTGATTGAACTGGGCGTCCTTCGCGGGGCAGCTTTGGGGAGAGCCCAGCCCCTGGCACCATGGGGGGATCTCAGCCATGGGGCTGCCCCATTGCAAATGAGAGCAATGTATTAAGGTGCAAAGGGGACCCTGCGGGAGGGGAACATCTGACTTGGGGCTGCAGTGGAGGCAGAAATTACTAGGGGACTCTGGCTTTGGAGGATTCAGGGGGTGAGGCTAGACGGTCTCCCCTTCCCTCCCGGCCCGGAAGTCGTTGTTTCTGGCTGTCAGCCTGCAGAAGAACTGGGGGGAGTTTCCTGCACCAGTTTCAGGGCTGAGCCGTGTTAGCCACATTCCCAGCCGGGCCTGGTGTGCAAATAGCAACACCCCACCCCCCCTGTGTTGCATGTGTGATCAGCCGTTCCCCACCCTCTCTGCTCCTGGTCCACTTGAAGGGGGTTTCCAGGTGGGTGTCAACCTGCCTCGGTGGTTCCCAGGCCCGGCCTGGTGTGCAGACAGCAACACCCCACCTCCCCGTGGTGCACGTGTGACCAGCTGTTCCCCACCTGGTCCACCTGAAGGGGGTTTTCGGGTGGGTGTCAACCTGCCTCGGTGGTTCCCAAGCCGGGCCCGTCACGGACTCCCCCAGGCCATGACAACCGGCTTCTGCTGAGGCAGAACTAGACAAACCGTGTCTGGTGACATTTGGCAGTCACACTGGGAATCCAGGGAGGGGGATCCTTGGCAGACAGCCAAACGCCCCCGTCCTCGCCCAGCGTGGTAGAGGGACCCGGCGTGGGAGGCGAGTGCAGGGGGCGACTTCCAGGCACCTCAGGGTCTGGCTGGGACATGGGGTTGGTGCGGCCGGCCCTAGCGGGAGGGAAACTCGCCCCCAGCTGAGCAGCGTGCTCTTGAGTGATGAGTTGGTCAGTTCTTAGCCAGTGCCAGTGGCTGGGGCCTGCCAGGGACCCACCTCCTCCTCCATCCCCGGCTGGCCAGGGAGCACAGATCAATCCCTCCTCGGGGAACGGGTCAGCCCCGAGCCAAGAAATTCCCTAGGCGGTAATTCCAGGCACAGACGCTGTAGATCAGGTTAGAGACGTTCTCCCTGAACTGGCTCCCGCACTCACGTCGCACACGGCTGGAGGAGATCCCAGCTTTCAGTAGATCCCTTTCACCCCCACCGGGCAGGGCAGAACCCCAGGGCTGTGGGCCATTGGGTGCGAGAGTTTGTTGGGGCTGAGACCGGAGGGGCTCGGGAAGGGCAGGGAGGCCCGGCACTCAGAAGGCAGCGGTGCAGAGGTTGTTCCTACCAGCCGTGAGCTGTCTGGGAGCCAGGACTCGTGGGCTCTCTCCCCAGCTCTGGGAAGGGAGTGTGGTCTAGTGGTTAGAGCAGGGGCCTGGCGAAATGGAGGGGCGTTACAAGCTGGGGTCTACGCATCTCTCTGCTGTGTCCTTTCCCCTCTGCACAGTCCTAGCTCCCCGGTGCCAGATGTCACAGTCATCGCCGCAGCCCCATCACGTGGTCACAGACTCCCCGGGGGCGTCTCAGAAACCCTCCCCCTGCAATGGCTGGGATGGGGGCTGATTCCTGCTCTACCCAGCCTCAGCCGGCTCAGGCGTGGCCCACCCTGGGACAGATCAAAGGGCTCTGTTCCCAACGACCCCCTGAGATCATCGCTGCCCCCTCAGCACCCAGCCCAGAGACACCGGCAGGGAGCTGAGCGGGAATGGGACCAGATGAGTCCGAGCTCCAGATGTGCCCAGCTGTGAGCCAGCACCCAGCCCAGCCCTGGACCCTGCTGGACACATCTCCACTGGGTCTTCTCTGTCCAATGGGGCATCATCCGGCCGGCTGTGCAGGACCCAGCTACTGGGCTGACTCATGTTCTATTCTTCCCCCAGCGGGTGCGGTTGGAAACTGCATTTTGATGAATGTGTGGCTGATCTAGAGGTTTCCTGCCTCCTTGAATCCCTCCCCCCAAACTGAGTCTATAAACCCTGCAGGTCTGCGGCGGATGCACCGTCCCCGCACTGACTGCAAACATGCCTGTCTACCTCTTGTTTCTGCTCCCTATGGCCTTTCTCCTGCAGCCTGGGACTTGGGCTGGTGAGTACAGCTGGGTTTTGGGGGCCCTGGGAGTTTGGGGTGAATGGGGGTTCTCAGGGACTAGGTTCTATCAGAACCTGCGAGAGGCTGATTCATTTTGTTCCCCACTTATACAGGATTATGGTACATGTTAGTGCCCTGTGAAGTATCACCCGAAAACTCATACTTTGCTGACCATTAGTGTCCGGAGGAAATAGCTGTGGCAGGAAAAGTGATAAGATGATACTGCAGGGTGTTACTCAGACATGTTCCGAGTGTGTGGAGACACCACAAACAGGTTCCCCGGGGCAAAAGACTAGCCGATGCTTCAGCCAGGTGTCAACAAAAGAAAATGGCCCTTCACCCGGTTCAATTTCCATTCTGGGGCAGGAAGTAGGACCTGGGTGAAAAATGTGCATCATGATGAACAACCAGCTGGGGATACAGACCTGCAGAGACCTTCTGTCTCCTAAGCCCCAGTGCGAGGAGGCTCGGAAAGAAGAGGAATAGCTACCAAAAGGTGGGGCTTTCAGGCCGCAGTAACCAAGCCCCGATGCTTGCCAGCTTGCCTTTTCTGCCCCATCCCTGGTCTGTATAACTCCCCAGTCCCGACATAGTCTCCATGGCTCCGTGCCCAGCTGGCTCTGATGGTGCTGCTCCCATCCTGCCCCCCGTGACTTTCCTTCTGCCCCCCTGGTAAGAGGGCTGCAGCAACCCCATGGAGACTCCTGTGGGATATTTCCACCAAGCTCTGCCCCACATAGGGAGCCGGGCTGTGGGGCTGAGGCTCACCCAAAAAATACGGGATCAGATCCCAACTCAGCCCCCTTCCACCACCGACTCTTCCTCTTGAGCAAATCAACGTCCCCGGCCCAATGTCCCTACAGATACCCAGGGTTGAGCGGTGACCCCCTTGGCTCCTTGCCTCCCTCGCGCTGGGTCTGGGAGTAGGACCATGGGTCTGGGAAGGAGAGGATGAAGATCAAGGCCTGTGCCACAGCCTGTAGCAGGTTGCAAGGACCGGAGGGGGAGGATGAGGTTGTGGGGACTCCCCACCAGGATGGGGGGTTTGCCCCAGTATGGCCCAATGGATGATGGGATTTTTTTCGTCTCTCTCCCCCAGGGGAGATCATCAAGGGAACGGAAGTTAAGGCTCATTCCAGGCCCTACATGGCCTATCTGAGAATACAACATGGAACCAAGATGGGTCGCTGAGGCGGGTTCCTGGTGGCAGAGAACTTTGTGCTGACGGCCGCTCACTGCCAGGCAGGGTAAGTGCCTCTGGGCTGAGACGTGGGGGCGGGTGGGCTAACGGGGAAGGGGAAGCCAAGAGCTCTGGTGCTGGTTTGGCGGGGGGACAGGGAAGGAGAAGGGGGTGGTCATGCTGGGGGAGCAAAGCCCATAGGTGTGACCAGCTCAGGGGGCATCGCTGAGTCTCTAGGGGCCTCTGTGACCCACAGCCCAGCCCCAGCACTGGGTAAATCAATGGGGCTGCAGGCAGGGAGCTCAGCGCAGAGCAGGGAGGGGTCCCAGCCCCATGGCAGCTCTGCAGGATGCTGGGCTGGGGGGGCTGAGCATGGACCTTGGCACTCCAAGGGCATGTCTACACAGCAGAGCTATTTTGGGATATCAGAGAGTCCTTAAAATAGCTACCCTGTGTCTTTTGAATGCATTCGCTATTCCGAAATATAGTGGACATGCTATTTTGGCATCTGGGTAACTCTCCTTCCATGAGGGTTAAAGGGATGGTTTGAAATAGCACTTGATTTCAGAATTTGGTGCCGTGTCGACAACACCAAATTTTGAAATAAACTCAAAAAAACGGGCACAATTTGCATAGCACAAATTATAGGTCGTATTTTGTGTTGCCAGTGCAGTGTAGACATAGCCCAACTGAAGAAGGTGGGGCCCTCCAAAGAGTTAAATACTTCACTTCTATAGGCTCTGCTTGCAAAAACTCCCCAATCACAGATAGATGGACTTTGGGGGGTCGCTGCCTCCATTAACAAGGGATTTATATCCTGAAAGTCAGGAAGGGACACTTGAATTCCTGCCCCAGGATTACCCAAAGCTCTTTTCCCCCGTGTCACAACCCTGAGGGTTGGCCAGCAGCCTGGAGTTGAAGGAGTTAATGATATCCTCTGTACCTAGCTAGGTAGTGGTCAGCAAATAGAAATGCAAGAAGGGATTTCAAACTGAGACAAAGAAATTTGGGGGTTTTCCCTCCTTTGTCTCTGAGCCTGTTTGCTCTCTAGATACTGAGGGAGAAAGAAGACATGTCTCTCTCCCAGAAAAAGACTCTTCATCATGTGGAAATAGGGTAAAGTCTAGCTAAATCCATCAGGTTTGATTGTTTTCTAGGTTGGGAATTTGGATCTGATGTCTGTGCTGTTAGAAATGAGTTTTCCTCTTTTGTAACTAAGTCCTGAGTCCGTGGGAGTCCCTATGAGTGTATTAATTGGTGACTTTTTCCATCTGCTCATTAGGCTTGTAACAGGAGTATTGTTTTGATCATTAAAGTTCTTTCTTTTTTATTATCCTGATATTGGTTCAGTTCTGTGTCCTGGAAAATCTGTCCGTGGGATCTGCAGGCCTCTGACTAGGGGGCAGCTACCACCGCCTTCAGCTTGGATTTTCTGTTTTCATCTTCAAGCTCTTTGGGAAAAAGAGCGTGGGGTGCCCTCGGGTTGGTTTCAAGTGTCCACCCCTGTTTGTGGGTTCAAAAGCACTTAATGGTGGCAGTGGATTTTTATCTCCAAAATCTAGGTTTTTAGGATTTTAGGGGGAAGTTTTATCCCAAGGCCTAGAAAGATCAGGTTTGGGGGTGGCTTTTGCAGGACCCCACTTCTGCATTCATCATGCCAGAATGGGGAATTAGCCTTGACACCCCAAAAGCACTTGAAAAAAGAAGACGAAAGCACAGAAAAGAAATCTCTTAGCACACACACACACACACACACACACACACACACCTTGAAAAATGTGATTGTATTAACAAAACAAAAAAATCGACTTGATAAAGTATATTTGGTTGCTAGATGTTACAGAGCAATGGAGTGACACAAATTAAAACGCAGAGAACACCTCTGGGCACGCTCTTGGATAGTGAAGGGGGAGGGGAGGTCTGGATTCACACAGAGAAGTTTAAGCAAACGACCAAAATGACAAAAAAATACCCTAATCGGGACTAAACAAACCTTTTCCCTTTATTCACGATCCGGGTGGATGCCTGCTGCAAGGGCCGACAAAAAAAATACCCCAATCGGGACTCAACAAACTTTTTCCCTTTATTCACGATCCGGGTGGATGCCTGCTGCAAGGGCCAGTTCACGCCCATGTCCCGTATTTCTTCTAGGCATGTCAATTCTGATTCTTGGCTGGATCTGGCTAGGAGGGGTCACTGGGGGTGCACAGAGCCAGGGGCCGGGATGACCACAGGGAGGGAACATCCCTAGGGACAGGGGAACACCCAGGCTGGGACCCCAAAGCAAATGCCATAGCCCCTCCTGCCCTACCCTATGCCCCCCAAGATGGATTGCAGTCAGCGCGGCTGGACCAACCCATCCAATTGTGTAGCTCCTGAGCCAGCTGGTCCCCCATCGTGATGCTGGCTCAAAGCCAACAGTATCAAGGGGTGTGTCACATTTTCACTGGCTGGGAACTGAGTCCGACACGAATTGTTCAGAGCCCCAGGCTGCCTGGTTCCCCAACAGCTCTCTGCTTGTGTCAGACCCACGTGAGCCCGACCCGCATCGCACGCATCTTCCCCCTTCCCCCCACGGAATGTGGCTCTTCGCTCTTCTAGTAAGATCACGGTCGTCCTGGGCGCCCATAACATCAGCCGACAGGAAAAGAGTCAACAAGTCATCCAGGTGAAAAAGGCCTACCCCCACGAGGAGTACGATGACGTCTACAGTGATAACGACATCATGCTGCTCGAGGTACTGACCCTATCTCTTCCTCCTCCAGTGACCTCACACTGCTGCAGGTACCGCCCCCATCCCATCCCCCACCCCCAGTGACCTCACACCTGGGGGTTTGCTCTCCTTTGTAATTAAGTCCTGCCCGTTGTGGGGTTCCCCCTCCCCATGCGGATATTAATTTGTGACTTTTCCAGCTAGTCATTATACTTGCAAGAGGAATATTGTGGTGATACTAAAAGTTCTTTCTCTTTTCTTTTTATTATCCTGGTTTTGGTTAATTTTTGTGTCCTGGTTTGTACTTTAAGGGTGCAATTTCCCAAGTGATCTCTTCCCTGATTTGTCTTATCATTACTTTGGAGGCAGCAGTGGATTTTATCCCCAAAATCTCGGTTTTTAAGATTTTCAGGGGGAAGTTTATACCAAAGCCTGGGAAGGTCAGGTTTTGGGGTACTTTTCAGATCCCCACTTCTGCATTTATCGGGCCAGAGTGGGGAAGAAGCCTTGACAATGTTACTGACCCTCAGCTTACTGCACTTGGTACCAGGATGGGCCACCCCAGCTAAGCACGGTTCTAGGGGCTCTGCTGTGGGGGGCATAACCCCGTTGGATCCATTCTGCCCCCCGCCTGTGCGGTGGGTTTCCAGGAAAGGAAGGGGTAGAGGAGAACCTATCCAGTGGAGGAAAACATAACCCTGCGCCCCCATCTCAGCTCCAACCCAGGTGTTGGAGGAAGAGGCCAGCAGAGCTGGGCCAGGAGATGGCTCTGCCTCTTTCCCATGCGTCACCCACTGCGTGTACAGAGTGGGGGTGTGGATCATGGCTTGGCACCACCCCAGAGGTGCCTAGCTCCAGGCCCAGGCTGTGGAAGGCCCCAGACGGCAGAGGCTGCGGGAGGTGCAGGTAAATGTGCTGAAGGATGCTGAGTGCAGGGATTTGCGCTACAACAACTGGACCATGCTATGTGCGGGGAAGGCAGGGAAGGGCGACGGTGCTACCCAGGTAAACTTGCTCCTGGCTTGGAGCTCCCTTGGGAAATCCGTGTGACGAGGGAGTGGCTCAGTTCTTGTCCTGAGACTGGCTGAGAAATCTGGGTTGTGGGGACAGAGGGCAAGGAGAGATCAGGGGCGACCCAGAGACCCCCGCCCTCATCTTCTCCCTTGTCCTTATGTCCTTGCCTGTGTGCAGCTGCAGGACAAGGGCCATCGTACCAAGTACGTCGGCCTGATCTCCCTGCCCCCGGCCCAGCAGCGTGTGGATCCAAAGAGCAGGTGCAGCGTGGCCGGCTGGGGTCAGACGAGTGCAACCAAGGAGCAGATCTCGGAGACGCTGCAGGAGGCCGACGTGGTGGTGATGCCGGATGCCGACTGTCGGAGGAAGCGTGGGGGGCCATGGCGCAGCTATAACGCCACCACCATGATGTGTGTGGGGGACCCAGAGGAAGGCAGATCCCCTTTCCAGGTAAATCCCCCCCTCCCCCTGCCTTCAAACCCCCCTGAGAAAGTGGTGGTTGGTGTTAGGCTTCAGAGAGAGGACAGAGGTGGGGTCACTCGGCGCTCGGGGCTGTGCAAAAGAGGAGCTGGGCTCACTCCTGTAATTTGTCTTTTTTCCCCTGTTGCAGGGTGACTCTGGGGGGCCTCTGGTGTGTGGCAAAGAAGCCCAGGGCATCGTCTCCTGGGGATCCAAGGATGGCACCCCCCCTGCCGTGTACACGAGAGTCTCCCCTTTCAGGCCCTGGATTCAGGAGACGATGGACAAAGTGGAGCTCTGAGCCCCGCCAGACATTGCTGGATTGCACCACTTCAGTGTTTTGTCTTGGCCCGGACGTGGGGCGACTGAGGCTCCCCCACCCCAGCCATGTCTCTGTGCTCAGGTAGCGGCGAACCCCTGAGCCTCCAGGCAGGGAGCCCGGCTCCGGCAAAGCCACAAGAAGGGAACTCGGAAAACGGCGCTCAACCGCTTGTGGGTCAACCCCCAGTGCTGACCCCCCACGTCTCACCTGCCCTGCCCTGATGCAGGGCCCACACCCAGCCGTGAATTAAAAAGTTACCAAAGGTGATGAGGGTTCTGAGTGAGCATGTGCTTCTGCTCCAGTTGTGCCCAACCCATCAGCACCAAGGCAGGAGAGTTAGGAGCCGGACTCAGGGCCGGATGCCCTTTGGCTAGGGAACAGCGGGTGCGTGTCAGTTACGAGCCAAACCCTGGGGCAGACCCGGCGGGTTGTTGCTCTCCCCAGTGTGAGATGGGGGAGTGCCGGCTTGTGGGAGCTCCTTCCCGTAACGTCCTGCTGGAACCACCCCCTGCCCTGACCTCTCTGGGCCTTGCCCACACACTGGCCCCCTGGAGCATTGACCGCCCCTTCCAAACACAGCCAGGAGACAGCCAGGCGGGTGGGAGGGAGCTATGGGATGGTGCACGGATCTACTGCAGATGTAAATTTGGCCTTGATCCTCTGCAGCCCAGTTCCCCTGCCTGGCTACATTTTGCTCACCTGCCCTGTCCCATTGCCTGCTCCACAGCCAGCCAGTAATAAAGCCAAGTTACTAAAAATGGCTCCTTACTTAG